AAGTGAATTTGGGTGTGTAATCAGAGTTAAAAAAGAATTAAAAATTGCAGGATGCCGACTTGGGCTGGCTGCTGCCAAGCCTGCTGCCAGCTGTGCTCCCTCCCGTCCCACGGACACCCATCCCACAGCCACCCCTGTGCCACGGCAGCTGCTGAGCTGTTCCAGGTTGCAGCTGGTCATAGCATCAGTTGGCACCAGTTTGCTTTCTCTTAGTGCCTGGGACTGGAGCTGGTGGTCGCCAGGAGCTGCTCCATGGAGGAAGGTTGTTTTTCCAGTGGTCCCAGTCATGAATCAGTGCTATCTGGTGTTGTAGGTTTCTGAATCATGGCTTCACCTTTGGAGAAAAGGGTCTAACAGCTGTCAGGTTCATGGTACACCATGTCCTGCCTCACCTGGACTTCCAGGTGCTGAGAGGGCAGGTCGTTCAACAGCCCCGTGAGGAGCCTGTCAGCCCAATGAAGCAAGGCTGTGACCACTGCTAGCCGAGACCTTGCTTAACTCCAGTGGCAGAAGCAACTTCCACAATAGATAGCTCCCTTCTGACTCTTAGCTGGATAAACATCTCAACCATCATGTAGCAGTTAAGACAAACATACAGAGTTTTGTCTCCAGCATTGTGCTTTCCTCTTTTTTTTTTTTGCAGTGTCTTGTATTCCCATTTTTATAAGCAGTTACCAAGGGAGGGTGGCTGTGTGCTGCTTTTTCTCCTTCATCCTTGTGTGCTCATTCCCAGGAGTGTTGCTTTGGAGAAAAAATCTGGGAGGTGTCTGGAATAGAAACCGATGTTCTCCTCACCACAGTGATTGCATTGGTGGTAGAGGCTGGGGGATCACACAAGCACCCTCAAGCAAATTTTTTTCTTTATTGGTCAGACATTGCAGTTATATGAGACAGCACTGCCCAAGCGTGAACTTCGCCAGTTCAGGTTGGTATGGGCAAGCTTTCAGCTGGATCAGGTGTCATCTCCCATAGCCAGGCTGCGCTCTGTGGCTGGGTAGCTGAGCAAAAGGCAGTTGTAAAACCATGGCTGACCTGGTGGGAGGTGTGCTCCCGAGGCCGTGTGTCACTGGCTGTTGAGGATCAGGGACCTGGCATCTGAAGTTCAGCCCTGGGCAATGATGAGCATAGTGACAAAGTCCCTGTCCTTGTGGTGCCCAAGCGTGGGCTGAACCTGCAAGGTGCATTGAGCAGGCAGCTGCTTCGAGAGCGGGTGAGGGAGCCTGTGCAAGAGGTGCGTGCTGGCGTGTTTGAGACCGAGCAACCAGTGACTCCATGTAGGTGTATTCAGCCCTTCTGCTTGTCCCCCACCCTCGCTTCTTGTGTTGTTTGGAGCAGGGGACAGTTTGTTCGTAATTCTCTCCTGTGACAACATTGCCCACTTGGAGGGAAGTATGGCAGCTGCAAAACTGAACGCTGCTGTTTACAGGCAGTATTACCTTGTTTTATGTCTCCTAAAGTAAAATAGAAAAAACCTCCTGCCCCACACAGAAAAGAGAGTGCATGGGAAGAGGAAAGGAAGAGACATGCTGGCAGTAAGCAGGTATGTGTTGTCTTTTCCCCTTTGGATAAAACATTGAGGGGGTGACGCTGGTAGCTGGAGCCTGTGGAGAGGCGTTTTTGTCCACTGTTGGGTACCAGTGATGTACCAAATCATCACAATTAATTGTTCTGGTTTTGATCTCTTGTCAGAAGGTAGCTGTTGGAGAGGAAAATTGGCCCCAGGTCTCCCATTGGCTTTATGGAGTTGAGAGGTTAAACCCAGCGAGTTACAGTGTGAGTTCAGCTCAGCCCTGCCCAAGGATGCTTACACCTAGCTGCTGTGCTAGAGTGGGAACCCAGATTACTGTCACAGAGATATCTCCCAACCTCTACAGTTAATTAAAAAAAAAAAGACCAAAACAACAACGAAAAAACCCACAAAGATTTTGCTTCAAATAACAAGTTTGTGATAAGAATTAAACAAATGGTTTGAAGCAATAAGCTTAATGAGTTGATGTTCAACAGCTAGACAGAAAGTCTGTCCTTCCCTCCTAGTTCCAGGTGAGACCCGCGATGGCTACCTTATTTCATTCGAAGTGAGGTGACTCAGCTGTAGATCTGTTGTGGAGTTCAGGCATCGATTCAGTGCAGAGCACCAAGGCAGCATCTGAACAGCGGAGGAAATCGATGGGTGCTGGAGCTATTCTGCTGCTGCTGCTTTTTGCAGTGGGTGCACTAACCAACATCACTGACTCCTGGTGTGTGTGTGGTGTTCATCCCTTTTTGCCTGCGTAAAGTGTGTGTGTACTGATGGGTATCTTTGGTTTGCCTTATTTAACGTACGTAAATGTGACTTTATTTTTTTAAAAAGGTAACACAGAACATGCCTTGTGTTTGAGGCGGTTGGAGGGTGTTGAGCCCAGGTTGGCATACAGGAGTGCAGAGCTGGCTGAGAGCATCTCTGGGAAACGGATATTTCTCATTCTTGGGGCTATTATCAAGCTGCATGGCTAGAACATAAAACTGCTCGTGTTAGGACTGACTTTCATAGAGATAAATATAGCAACTGAGCTGTAAGTACCTATTTTAAAAGTGCTTCTCCAATACTGAATTCCCTCCTCCTGAGCGAGGGGGATAACCTTCGGCTGATGATTGCATCGCTCTGGGTGCAGCAGACGAGAGGAGGAATGACTGACCTGTCATGTGTTCATCAACAGCAGTTCTGGCTTCCTCTAGTTGGGTTTCTGCTGGGTTTTGACAGTCTTTTGTGCGATGACAGACCTGCTAAGTATTTATTGTTGATGCTGGCATTCTGCCTATGACTTGGTTTGGTTATCCTAGCAGCTGAGGTAGGTAGGTCTGGCACATGAAGCTGAAAATAGTTGTGCTGCCTTTAAAAATCGAGAGATCTGTAAACAGGTTAAATGTAGGTCCCCTGCAGAGAAAGTTTTATGTCTCACTTTGGGAAGAATTTGTGTGATTGTATCCTTCAGGAAGGATCACAAAACAGGAAGCCTACTCATTTACAACTTTTACAGTTTACCAGAATTGACCCAAGAATATTGCTGCTGCCAGGTCAGATCACCTTAGCCTGGGTTCTTCAGGTACTGTTTAATATAGAAGAGAGGTATGGCTCAATGATATGTTGAAACATAATGCATCAATTTAAACACCATGTGTCAGAGATGAAATTGCCCTAATGCATGTTGAAATGAAAGTAGTATTATCCAATTGGAGCTCTGCAGCAAGAGGACTTCAGTTAAAATACCCAGACTGCTGCTGACATGCGAATACTTACTGCAATGTGAATGTTGCTGCGCAGTTCTGGATGGTAAGAGGCTATCTATACGGTACTTATTTTAACTAACAATTTTAGAAAGCTGTATAAAAATTGATATCTATCTGTATACCCTGGTGGGATGTACAAGGCAATGGAAATACTTCCACAATCTGGAAATGGGCTGAGTGAGGCTTCAGGTTTCCCACTGCTGTGGAGTTCTGACTCCAGAAGTTGGGTCTAAAAGCCTGGCTGGCTGCCTCTCTTCCTCTCTTACTGAAACGCACAATCAAGAAGGCAATAAATACTCAGGTACTTTGGTTTGATTCCGGATCCTGTCCTTGGATTAAAGATTTATGTCTAATTTAGTAAAGCAGGCTGTAGGGCAGGGTGTGGGTTAGGGTGAAATGCTGACAAAGCATGGTGGATTTTGGGCTGGGGATCAGCAAGGAGAAGCAATGAATGCAGCAGCAGTGGAGAGGTGGATTCTGGAAGTGAGATGTGAAAGAGGCTCTGTCGCTGATGCTGTGTTCACATGATGCTTCCTGAAATGCGTGGTGTGTAATTGGTGCGTTTGCAGGGCTCAGAGTGATGTACCAGTGCAAATATGTTCTTGACCGCTGAAATGCAGGTGACGCTTCTCCCAGTTCAGCAGAGGAAATCTTTACTGAGTTACTGGGAGGCTAAGCAAACCTGAAATTGGAGTTCAGTTGTGGCCTCCCTGTTAGTACGTTTAAGATATTATCCCTCATGTAACATTTTAGTATTTGTGTGTTCGATGGCAACTGCGTTTTGTAGTTTTGAGCTTGCTGATAACACTTGTTGAAATAGCCTGCGAATAGTCTTGAGATGGCTGAAACAGCTCGATGAAGGACCACTTCTGGAGGACATCACTTGGTTAACGGGCCACTAGTCACTGGAGATTTGTCAAGTGATACGTTCCCTTACCAGTAATGACTCCCGGAGCCTGCAGCTCTGAACTGGTGTAGAAGGTGTACCGATGGGCCAGCCGCATCTTTTGTTGCCAGCACTAGCTCTTTGCCAGCAAGTGCTTTAGCAGGAGCTGGAGTATGAACCAGTGCTGTGACTTTATCTACGCTCTTGTCAACTTTTTGTGTTACCTGCATGGACCTGGGGGCTAACAAGTACAGCAACAGCCATTTCTTTTCCTGTTTTTCCCAAAGGCAAGTTCTTGCAGCAGTGAATTTGGCACCAAAGCCAGTTCCCCTGACAGCTGAGTTGTCTTACTGTATCGTACCTTGCTTAAAACATGGTCTCCGCAGGTATTTGGGGTATCTTGGGTGAAAAAAGTGCAGGATAAGACACAGAACTGTGGTATGATGCTCCTATTCCTGTGTCTTCCATCTTCTCTAGTACATAGACTGGATGTGGGTGGGAAATTATGACTGACTTGAAGTGATGAGCAAGTCAGAATGTCTGCAGCCTTCTTGATGTGTCTGCCGACTTGGAGCACAGTCGTGGACAGGTCACTGGTTGCTGTTTCAGATCTGACAATTGGATTTTGCAAACATGCCAAGGGGGTTAACTCTGTACTGACATACTTCAGCATCCTTTACTGAAAACATCCTCGGTCCGGAGGAACAGGATACTGTACATCTGTGTGTGATGTGTTATTTCTGACCAAGTATCATCTGTGAGGTCACTAAATTCCGTATCTCTCTCTCTCTCCTCTTAGCTGAAGCTTGAAGATCGCTCTGTGGTCCCTCGAGATGTGGTCAGACACATGAGCTCCAGTGTAAGTGCTTTTTTCTTCGTCCCTTTTTGATAGTGATACTGCTGCATGGATTTCTAAGACTTGCCAGATTGCCTGAATGGAACTGAACAGTAATGCTTTGAGCATGTTCTATTTTTAGTGTGTTTGATAGACCTAGCTGCATCCTTTGAAAATGAAATGCTGATAAGGCTGCTTCTCTCCTGTTGCGTATCTGCAAAGGTCTCCTGAACAAGCAAGGCTGATAATGTCAGGTAATGAGACAAGAAGCTCGTTTATCCTGCCATCCTTTAAGTTTTAAATCAATCTATTCTGAGATGTGGGGAGCATGGATCTGCGCTCCCGGACCTAATGGGGAGGCTGGAGTGGAGGCAGATCGCCTTACCGCTGTGTGCCTTTTGGTGTGTTGTGGTAGGGAACTGGGAGGAAATATTTTCAGAGAGACCACTCAATCTACAGTGAGCACCATCTTGTCCAATTTCTTCCAGAAATACAGCAAATCCCAGCACT